CCGGCCCCAAAGTATTTTCTTTTTCTCTCTCTCTCCCTCTCTCATTACCATCAAGTTGGAACTGACTCATAGCTGACCCTCCAGCAGGATTTTAGAGACTGTAAACTGCACAAGAGGAGACTGCCTACCTTTCTCTCAGAGAGCAGTCAGTGGATAAGAACAACTCCTTACCTGCTGGGCCTTCCTAGAGGTCTGTACAGTAGACAAGAAAACGGGCACTTTCTGAGATAAGTGACTTTTCAAAGTCCCACGGGCATTATTAGCCAGTGGTCAGGGCTAACGCCAGGCTCTTCATCACTATCCATCTCTTCCCTTTCAGTCGGCAAATGCATGCAGCCTCCATACTTTGCAGCCCACGTGAACCTGTCAGTGCTTTCTCATAGTCACCATCTTTGCATGCTTCTTTAGTCGCCTCTCAAGAGATTAAATGCTATGCCTGTTTTGCTATCAATTTGAAAGGCCTTCCTTATAACAGGAAAGTTATCTGAATTTTTAATAGTTCAGCTACCACCCAAAATTGTCAAAAAGTATGTCAACTTTGAGGATGCAAGCAGCTGCCTTAAACCAAGAACACGAACACCTGGGTATTGCTGCCCCTAAGGTGATAACTATACCGTTGCCACCACCACTGTGTATGGCATCATCAGCAAGTATCTAGCACCACGCATTATTTTCGTGCAAGGAAACATGACTAGGTGGGCATTCTACAAACATTATCTCTAAACTTCAAGAGGCCAAAAACATAAGAGCCATTATTATCTTTAAAGAGCTAAGAAAAAGCTTATTGTTATCCCTTCAGAACCAACTCATTAATGAACCTCCACTGAATTATCCAAAGTTGTAAATCACACTGGAAGAGACTGTTCATCTTACTCGTGTGGAGTTGCTGGTGGATTTGAACTGCCAGAAAAGGTTGGCAGTTGGTTTAGCAGCACATCTCCCTACAGACTGTACCGCCAGAGCTCCCTTATAAAGCTATATTCAAAACTCAAACTTCAACTCACTGTCACCAGAACCAACTCATAGCTAACCTCTCAGCAGGTTTTCAGAGGCTGTAGGTCACATGGGAGAGAACTATCCTTCATTCTCCTGTTGATCTGTGGAGGACTGAAACTGTCAGCAAGGCATTCATCTTTGGGTTAGCAGGAAAATAACCTGTGTACTAAATTCAGATAAGTTATGAAAGATGGCCTGGATTCCAGATTTTGGCAAAGCACATAATGTTCCATTTTCATCACAAGAAGGTGGACCCTCCGAAATAATATATTTTTTTTTAAAAAAAAAAGCTAAAAATGAAGTTCTGTGTCTGATGTATAACTTGGCACCTCCACAATTTGCGATTATTCTCTGAATTGAAAAGATTCATGTGACTTCCCACACACAGCAGCAAGTTATTACCTGTGCCAACACAAATTTCTTCTTGCCTACTAATTCACCATTCCCTAATCTTCATTTCATGATAACATTAAACAAAAATGCTATTAGGGACTTGGGTTTTAACTTCAACGTAGAACCTTTCCTGGAATCCTAGCATCTAAGGGCGAGAGAGACAGTTAAAGTTATTTTTATGCTGATCAGTTTCTCATCTCTATACTGTAAGAAAGGATCCTGAGACTATTTGTAATAAAAGCATAAACACAATGAGATCAGTTCATTTGCACTAAAGTGCTCCAAAAGCCAGAAAGGCATCCACGTTAGTGCTTGACTAGCATGTGTGAGACAAACAAACTTGACTTAAAAACCAAATGCCAAATGATATAATAAAGGGCCCGAACATCATAAGAATGTAGTCAAGAAACTTTATTTTTACATAATTTTGTACTTAAGTAAATATTAGAAGAATAGTTTAAAGAACCCAGGATTTACTAATAATACAATTTGCTGTCTTTGCTTTATTATTTGTTCTTTTTTACAGGAACCATGAGATAATTTTGCTGCCATCTCGCCTCTTTACCTGCAAACATTTCAGTATACTGATTTCCTAAGAACAGGGGCTTTCAGAATACCGAAATCTTTGACTAAAACATGAAGTTAATAAAAAACACCATCAAGGTAAAGAAAAAAAAATACATTAGCTATTAACACAAGCGAATAAATACACTTTGCCTTCACAAGACAACATGTTTTTACCTGAAAAGATACGGTTTGTTTGGTTTGAGGTTTGGGGGTTTTGCCTCTTTTGGACACTGCTGTATTCTTAGACCATAGTATAGTGTTGGGGAGCTCTGGTAGCTTTTAGTAAGGAACTGTGCTTCCAAACCAAAGGTATGTGCTCCCGAAGCAGCAGTTCAAGTCTACTAATCTCTTGTGTGATTTACAGCCTCTGAAAATCCTCTTGGAGGGTCAGTTTCAACTCAATGGTACACACCAATAGCAATAAGCCTAATGCCTGGAATCATATAGCAGGTGCTCAATAAATACCTCAGTAAGTTAATTTCTTAAATATATATATGTTGTTGTTGTTGATTGCCATTGAGTTAAACATGACTCATAGCAACCCTATGAACAAAAGACCTGAAGCCTTTCTATAACTATCATTGTTTCTCAAAGTTCAAGGAGTTTCCAGAGGCATGTTTTTTAGGAAGTGGATGCCACTCCTGCTTAAAATATATATACATAATTATACTTAGTAATGAATGTTTCATGGAACCCCACTGCACAATGATTGAACACTCATCTGCTACTAAAAGGCTGAAACTTCAAACCCATCACTGTTCTGTTGGAGAAGAGACCTCTTGGCCTGCTCCAGTCAAGATGACAACTGTGGGAAGCCCATGAGCAGGTCGGCTCTGACCTGCACGGTTCTCACGGGTTGGAACTGACTTGCCAACACCACAGCAAGTGCTTCAGTGTGCATTTTTCAAAGTTACTTTCTTAATATGATGTCATGAAATGTTATCAACTGCATTTTTAAACAAGGTTTTTATAAAATAAAGGGAGTTTGATGACAGTAAAGTATTTAGTCATTTCTTTATTGCTTATTATTTGTATTTCACTACTTACAGAGGAATGACCTTCAGTTAGAAAGAATGACTAGAATTGCCTTTGTAAGACAAGATAAAGCAGATGTTGACGCAGCATCACCTGTGGCTTGCTCAGCCCCTCGGGTGCCATCCATGGACCTGCCCTCTGGTCACAGATAGCGATTTCTGATATACTCGCGGTACATGGAGGTGTCTTCCTTCCCGAGGGGTTGCATGATGCCTTTGCTGGCCTGGATGTGGGCATGGAAGATCTCTGTGGATTTTCTGTCAACTCTTGGAGGCTGCACTTCATAGATGTTGTCTTGAGAAAAGGCTGAGATGGGTGTTCTATAAAACATGAAAGAGAGATCTTTGTTAAAGAAAATGAAGCAAGGGCCCACAGGAGGCGTCGGTCGTCGGAAGAGTGGTGCTGCTGCTGACCTGGACGAGGCATGAGTGGTATGAGGAGAGGTCAGAGTGCCCTCCTGGCTGGTCTTGTCCTTGGCCTGTGGATGGGGCTGGATACAAGCATAGACCAGGCAGCCCCTGTTCCTCTGTCTCCACACCCTGTCCTCACCTGCTCTTGTGCCCTTGTTTGTCCCCCCTCACTTGACTGGAGCAACTTTATGCAGGGACTGTACCAACTTTTTCCTGATTTTCCTTGGCACATGGTATGTGCGCAATGGTTTCTAAAGGAAAATTTAGCAGGAACCAGTGAGGTAGGGGTAACACATAAATTAGGTCTGTTTTGAGGCGGAAGTAAGTTTCTTTTCTATATTTACTTTGCACAGTGAATGGCATGCCTGCCTTAGCCAAGTTGCTGTGGAGGTGATTGTGACCCATGGTGACAATATGCATGTCAGAGGAGAACTGTGCTGCTTAGGGTTTTCAGCGGCTTTGCATTTTGGAAATAGACTGCCAAGCCTTTCTTCTTAGGCACCTCTGGATGGACTTGAGCCTCTGATCTTCCAGTTAGCAGTTGTGTGTGCTCTCTTTGAGCCACCAGGAGCTCCTTGGCATAGGATAAATGCCCAGTGAGTGTGAACTACTACTAACAATTGTGTATCATTGAGTCAGCTCTGACTCACGGGTGTGTCCATGTGTGTCATAAAGCAGTGCTGTCCCGGAGGGTTTGCCTGTATTCCTTTTAGAGGAGATGGCCAGGTCTCTTCTTCAGAGTCGCTGGGTGGTTCTGACAGCTAACCTTCACTTAAGTACTGTACCACCAGGACTCGCTGTTAACATTACAGGTGCATAATCTCTGAAATAAAAAGTTTTAACAGCTTGAAGCTATTTTGTTGGCAAACAGACCCAAATGAAACTTAGTGGCATATCTTAATCTGACAGCACTCATTCCATCTCATGTGAATAAGAATGTTTATTATCAGACATGGCCTCAGATCATTCCGGAGATGTTATTATTATAAGGTGTATGTGCCAAAAACCACTGTGAATTCTGAAACACATTTGGACCTTAGGTTTGTGGATGAACGATTGTGAGTGTGAAATGGGCAGCTTCTCTCCTTCCCAAGATGATGTGAAAAGGAAGCATCAAAAAATTACTCTACTCAAAGGTGTCCCTCTAGTCCCTATCTGCCTGTTAGGTTTACCAGATTACCTAAGTCTGTACCCAACCCTTTAGTGAAAGTGCTGTGTCTGGAAAGGCCTTTTCAAAATGCAGCACTGTGTCTGACATGCCCTCTACGCATCACAGTATGAGCACCCACTAGTTTTACACCCTCAGTGATGAGTCAATCCTCGAGTCAGGTTTGATGTGGGGAGAGAGTGCATGCTGATTACATGTGCCCAGGAAGGTCAGGAAGGAGCCACTGGGAGAGGATCATGGTAAAACAAAAAGATTCTGTGACGGATTATGGCTACAACACCAGCATACTCCCAGGGGTGGTCTTTGAGGAGAGGAGTGTGGCTCTTC